ACAGCAACCAACTGGCAACCACTGAGAGAATTTACATTGTTCACTAGCAACCACTATTTGACAGGCAGTCACCAACCAGTCTCTAGGCCTGTGTGACCCAAAAGACAGTTTATAGTGGTAATTAATTACAAATTAACATAACTAATAACTCACAGATGAAAAAGGGAAAAAACCTTCACATGCAAGACTCATGATTCCACCACCAACGTGGTGGATTGAAGTGGAGATCGTTGATTTCCTGTACACAGAAATTAATCAGCACCTATGAGACCAAGTGCACAAAAAATGTTTTTAGGGACATGAAAATAAAGGTAGAAAGTTTGTGTCCAGATGAGAGACGATCACATGGCTGACAGACAGACACTTTAACAACTAAGGACAATTTTAGTATCAAGGCTCACATAAACTGCTTATTTTAAAGTGTGGGAGGGAGCCTCTAACAGCGGTGTCCATTAGTAACTGTGGGTGTTCATTAGTTATTCATCAATAATACCTAACTCCTTCACTCAACATTCCTTTGTTTTCCCACAGCCAATGTCATCCATTCAGAAGCAGACAGGAGCTAGGACTGTGCCCCCCACTCCCTTGCCACAGTAATTTTTTTCTACCGCAACATCTGCCTCCCTGGCTAATAAAGCACGAGACAGGAATGGACGAATCAATCAGTCAAGAGACGCGCATGCAGCAGCTCATGCCAGCTGCCCTCACAAACACAAAGCACACACTGAGCCAGTGATGCATGAGACAGATGCACAGTACACCTGGCCACAGGCTTACAACAAAATGGAAGTGATACAAGGGGAGAGAATAAAAAAAAGGGAGATGTGTGGGGGGAGGTGGGGAGGGGGGGTCAGTGCATCTTTTATCCACAGATGTAGGACATGAAAAAAAAGGGGGGGAAAGAGGACACTGGAAAAACAAACAACACATTCAAATGAACAGTCACATACAGGAAATTGTAGTGTAACATGTTCCTGCGAGCTGATATTATTGTACTACACAGAAAGTGGATCAATAGGTCATTCTTTCCGGGGGGAAGAGCATGTAACGATAATAATGTGTTTTCCTTTCCAGTGATCTGTCACTCAGTCAGCTGTTGTGTGTAACTGTAGCTTCTTTCCACCCACTGTTGGAAATAACAGTGGCGCTTCGGCTGTGTTTAACAATGCTGCAAAGATCAGGTGATCAACCTACCGAATGTTTAGGGAACAGCCTGCTGCTGCTATTATGTAATGAGTACAAGGACATCAAAATAAATGTCCCTGCTATGGATTGCTCTGAAGCGAAGTAACAAACATGGCAGTTTTGCAATCAGCCACAGTACTGTACCTGATACCGTTTTCAACTTGTGAATTTTCTGTCTTTCCACAAGTCATCCTGGCAACATGTGGCCCTGGAGACACCTACTGGACTTTTTTAAGTACTTTGGGTGATGTAAACATAACAATCATGTAAGATGCAGTCACGAAACATTACAAGTGTGTAGTTAAGATCGAAATGAAAGCCATGTTCGAAGATGGTAGACAGATAAAAATACAACTTCAGGATACCCCTAATGCTTTGAACCGGATGCAGGAGCCAATCAGATGTTTTGTAAGGTGGCCTTTGCCGTATTTCACCAGATTAGGATCTGGGGTTATTGGCGTAGGGATGCACCCAGCTATTCTGATGCTCATTCAAAGCTAGCTATTGTAGCCGTGAGCTGATTTATGGAACTGTGCCATTCAATTGAACATGTTTGATGCTTACTTAGCCATCCATTAGTGGTACACCGATTCCCAGAAAAACCAATAAGGACGGATCGTCTTCTACAGGACCAAAGAAGCCAATGGCAAAAGGGCCAATAATTTCTTCAATACACAGCAAATTATTGAATATCCTATCACAACTAGCGACCGTCGAATGTCAACTCGTAGCAACAACTGGCACTAAGCTAAGTCATACATTTCTAAACTATGAGTGAGCAACTGAATGACTACCAGTGTAACGAATGATACTGCAACCAAACTGCTAATCTGAACAAAAGTACCGAGCCACCTACACATTACACCGACAGGAGCTGCACACGCATAGAAAACCAAGCCACAAGGCTTCCAGCATACAGTGTTTATGCTAATGTTAGTCCCATGTCGCTCAATGGAGCGGACTTCTAAATACAGTGGGAGAACAAACCTGCAGGTCACACTGAAATCATAAAAATTTAAATGTATGAATTTATTTTACTTCTCTGCATTTAAAAGGAGACAAATACGAGGAATAAAAGTAAATCAGTAATTACTAAAAAAGAATAGTTGAGAAAATAAGGAAATTATTGTGAAATGCCAGAGCTTCACAGCATTATTCAAGATATTTTTAACTGTTATATTTTGTGTTTTCCTTTACATACTTAAAGACAATTTAACCATAAATTGATACCCAGTGAGCAAAAACTTGTGTGACAGAAGCTGCAGAAGATGACTTTGCATCTAAATGTTGAGAAATGGTCAAAACATGAAGGATAAAAAGCCTCTTTCCAGCTAAAAATGGTTGAAAAGTGAAAGAACACACTTTCACCTCAACACCTCTAAAAGCCATAGGTTTGGACTGGCCAAAGGCCTGTATTAATAAGTTCACCATGCTTCACACAATGAGACCGAAATATAATTTAAAACTTTAAAACCTTTTTTTAAATATTAAAAATACAGAATGGCTCCCAATTTATTACAAACTGTAATATAAAACTGGTCCTTGTTATCGGCAGTTAGCCTAAGTCAGGGTATGTGTATCCTAGTGGAACTCGAAAAGGATGAATCATTGCAACCCTAACTTTCACTTATGAGATTGTGTCCTTTCTTTTTTCAAAAATCTTTCCACAGTCCTGAAAAACAAATTTAGAAGTAATGGGACATTTTTTTAGAGACCATGACAACATCCATGTACATCTGGGTCTTGGTGGCTAACAGCAGAGATTCTCCAACGGTCATTTTCCCGGCCAATTTGAAGTTCTGTTTTTCGTGATCTGCTGATATCGATTTTCTATAACTAAAAGCAAATACAAGCAAATTATGTTTAATGCAGCATTTTAATTTTCAAAATAAAAAGTGATTAATCTTTACAACTTCTCCCAAACTCCAGCGACTTATGGGATCTTTTCTCACTACTCTGCTCTGCTAATGTATGTTTCTGTATGCCCACCTTTACCCAAAACATCCTACCTTACCAAACAAAAGCTCCCACAGCGTTTATATGACAGAACAAAAGTCAGCTACTTACATTATTTTTCAGCATGTTTATAACTTTACCACATCGCCCCTTTTGTACTTGTCTCCATGATTTTCCTCACACCTGTTGATCCCACACTGCTGGTTTGAATCTGTGCTTTGGATAGCTTTAGCTTTAGCAACTTTGCCTTTGTTGGCTTATTAAAATGTCCATGTTCGCCAGGGCGATGGTGATTTAAGTTTTGTATTAGGTTTGTGGTTCTGGACAGTTTACTTTGGAAAACTTTATAACTCCAGTTACAATAAAACTTTTACACTAATATTATGTTGGCATTTGGCTGTGAGTGTTAGCACAACTATTTACCTGTGCAGCTGTACGTGTGTTGCACATGAATGAAACAAAATGGCTCATAATGGGACACAGATGAGCCTGACTGGCTAGTCACCGGTCCTGGCCAACCACGCTGGAAACTGGACGATCCCAGCCCCTGGCCAGTCAATCGGTGCATTAAAAAAACTCAAATCTTAAACTTAAACACAAAAACAGAGCAGTGAAAGTGTACCGTGTGGGTCTGAGACCTGTCGTGCACTAAGGACCGGCTGCTCCTCAGTTAAAGGCCAGCAGCCAAAGGACTGCAAAGCCAAAATTATTTGTCACTGCCACAACCATACCATCACAGATGTGCTTGTGTCTTGTTATTTTTATGTAATAATGCTTTTTTTAAAATTATCTCAAACACCATAAATTATGTGCAGACTTATCATAGAAATAGAAATACAGATAGAAACACACGGTGCAATACTTTGATGCATGTGATTTGACTGTTTGAAGCCCAGGAGGCCACCAGTGATGTGAACAAGCACTCACTCACACACACACACACACACACACACACACACACACACACACACACACACTCATTTAAAGCTGGTCTTATTGATTGTCCTGGTATCATTCAGAGGACTGAATTATGTAGATAAAACTAAACTACCAGCTCAGCCTGCTTTGATCACCCATATCTGCCTCACTCTGCACTCTCACAGGTCAGCAACAAATGACTCATGGATACAGTTTTCTCTCGCAAACACACAAACACTGACTCCTGATATTCATCAGTTACATTTAGCGCAACCATCCACTCAGGGGGCAGTCAGAGCCTCCATGTATTTGCTAAAAACAGCAGGATATGCAACTACCATGCTTATATCAAGCCATTAACAGAACATAGTCAGAGTCCAGTTTCAGTCTTGAAACACGGAGTGAGCTTTATTTTGTTCAGCCACTTATTGCTCCTAAAGCATGAAGGGCATCCTAGCTCTGACTTCCCAAAGCTGCATTTTCAGGTAAAGGCAGAAGAAAACAGCATATTCTTTTAAAATGACTCACCCAATGTAACAAACGCCAGGGTGATAATGACTGCTGTCATCACCAGAGTGCCTCTTTTGTTTTGAACAGGGAAACGTGGACCCAAGTTCAATTGCCTCTACAGCCCCAAGTGTCCTTGAGCAAAACACTTGAAGCTCTATTTGCTCAACAAATACAGTCCAGTCTACCTAAAACACCGACTTTGATTCATTTGCAGTGACAAATTATCACAGTGATACAAACAGGGGAGAGAGTTAAGTTCATCCTTTCTGGATAATAGCCAACAGCAAAATAGTGTCCATGACTTCTTGTTTTAATCTCTTTTTTAGAAATTAAAGGCAGATTTGACACATTTTCACTACCACCTGTGCACGTTAATATGACGATGAAAACAGAGTATTTACAAATATGCCAAATAAATGTCCTCCACTTACCCTGTAACGCGTGGAAGAAGATTAAGCTCCTTTCAGCCAGAAAACAAAAGCCTCTCTTTTTCTTTCCAGCTATTCTCGCGGCGGTGTTTTGCTCCAAAACAGTTGTTCCCTTATGTAAAATAACCTTCGCGTTAACTCACCTCTCTCTCTGGAAGCAGATGAATGAACCGCTGCGTCTCCCTTGCCAACACATTTGCATAAAGCCCGCCTCTCCGACCCGGAGATTGGCTAGGTTTCCGTTTAAAGGTGGACCCCTTTTAAGTGATTCGACGGAGCCGCATGTCAATAAAACAAAGAGCGCACAACAAGCGCACGCGCCTGTGCCCTCGCGTCCTGTCTCTGTAGCACCGCGTGCGCAGCAGAGAGAGAGAGAGAGAGAGAGCCCAGTAGTGAAAAACTGTAAAGAACAACACATCTCCAGCGAAAACAGAAATACACACGACACATGTTCGTTGTCCTGTGTAATTTTCTGGTACTTCTCGCTCAAATTCGCCATATTTTATTTTATTATTTGTAAACTTTGTCCTTTAGCTCCTATAACATGGTGGATATTTACTTATCGGAACAGACAGGGAACCTGGGCCCATAAGGTCACAAAGAATTAGACACCAGACAAAATAGCAAAACTACAGAACTCTTAAGTGTAACACTCATGACAGGCACCTTGAATGAGATCAATCACTGTCACCGTGGAAATTGTTTCGTTGTTAAAGAACGTTACATGTGGTTTTCAGGATTTCCATGTGGCTGGTGATTGATGGTGGTGACAATGGTGTAAGGGTCAAAAGTTATTTGTACACTTCTCATCCTTATTTGTTGCAATCTTGGCTTCGCCAGGAGGAAACATAGCCTATACCATGTCAGAATAGACTGTATAAAAGTCAGATGTCGTTTGTGGGACTGTGACAGAGCGTTCTCACTCCCGAGGCGTAACATTTCGACGTTTTGTCACGTCCCGCGGCGTTCCTGAGGAACGCGAAAGGAGACCTTCGGCGTTCTTATGGTACGCGGCGGGTTATGGCTGGAATCCAGTGAATGACGCTCCCGCGGTAATAGACGTTCCAGCCCTGTATTCCAGCCCTAAACCTAACCTTATCCCTAGCCCTATAACCATAACCTTATTCCTGACCTTAACCAGGACTTTAATGATGTTAAATAGCGTGTTTCTAAGCGATTTGAAGAAAAAGAGCGAACATGTGTAGATTCAGTCCAGACGGTTCTCATATGTCCTCTTTGAGCGAACATGTGTAGATTCAGTCCAGACGGTTCTCATATGTCCTCTTTTTTCCGAGGTCGTCATTTAGGAACGTGGTGGGTAGCCGAAAACGTAATATGGTGACGATTTGTCACCTAGCGTAAAATGTTACGCTTTGGGAGTGAGAACGGGGTTGACTGTGAAGTGAAGATAACATGGAATTGTCTTAACCTGCTTTCTTTTTAATGACCAGCAAACACTTTTGTTTGCAGAAAGATATGAATAGAAATCGATAAGAAAATAGCTTTTGGCTCACTTGCTCTGTGATCCTAGTAAACATGATTTATAGACCCAATCATTATTGTAAAGCCATAATGAACATAAAAGTTTATTTTGTAAATTGTGATCATTAATACAGAATATTATGAAGGGTGGGCTCATTGATTTACAGCTATAGTTACAGTCCCGTTGAGTATGTCACGTCTTTAAATTCAGGCTCATCACACCCAGTTTCAAAACACCAAGATGGTGACTGTAAAAACAATCAGCTCAAAGTTTCCTACCAGAGGTTCAGTATCCAATAATTAAGGTCACAGTGGCTAGGCCTATTACATACGTAGTTTACGGTTGTCAGCTATGATGGAAATGCTAGCGCTAACTAGCAAGCAAACAGTGTCAGATTTTATCTCTTTAATTGAGTTTAAAATGTGTTGCAGTATTACACAGTGTATATACTAGTGCTGTCAGCATTAATCTCATTAAAATGACGTTAACGTCATAACTGCATTAACGCGGCAAATCCGTTAGCAGGTTAGCATGGATTGCCCCGTGCCCGCTAACCGCGCTAACGTATTGATGCAGGCCCACGCACGGTTATTGGTATTAAAGCCATTTTAACGAGATTAACGCTGACAGCACTAGTATATTCATTTTACATTTTATTAATACATTTTTAGTTTATATATTGTAATATATGGAACTATACTAACAATTATTCTTGGCTAAATTCCCGCAAAGCATAAATGGCAACACACTGCACTGTCCAGTTAGAACACCTCCAAATGGAAAATTAGCTCATCTATAAGCAGCTCCTGTGGAAACCAGTTGGTGACGGCACCTCTTCATAATTTTTATTCAATCTATATACAAGACAGTCATGGGTCATGGGTGAGAGTCTTTAAGCTTCTTATTGTTATTGCAACCCTGTCACTGTACACTAATGCCTCAAATCTTGTCCCAGATAGTTACATAATAGTTAACACATGTATTGATTTCTATCATGCCAATACTCTAATGCAGTGTTGTTGTTACAAAGAGAATCCAGACCGAGTGTTTGATTAGAAATCAATGTCAGTGAGCAAAACAGAACTTGTATTAACAGGTAACCTTTTTATTATTTTCCTAATACATGAAAATACATTTAATATTGTAGGTGAAAAAACAAATTCTAACAAATAAAATGTCACAGCGTGATTAGCCAAGGTGAGCCACAGCCTCTCATTTGAGAATAACATAACCTTCAGCACAAGGTTAACCTCCATATCTCTGCAGGAGCACTGCAACACACACTTCTTCTTTTCTGTGGCGTGAGTGTTGTGTGTCCTTCACTACAAGGTAAGTTCTGAAAAACTGTGAAAAAGAACAGGACAAAACAACGTGTTTAGACTTAATTGTGAAATGTTGAACTCCTGGAAAATCTAATTGCATTGCATTGATACCGCTGCATTAATCGTATTAATGCAATCATATAATTGTATAAGTGTTATGCTAAACTGTGCTCATCCATGGCTGTTCAGGTTTCTCATGTGAGATTGAGCAGAAAGAAAGATCTTTTTATCTCTTTCTTGCAGATTTAAATAGAGGATGATGCTGGATTTCAGTGTTAAATTATAATACCATAATATATAAAAATAGGAGCCTAAAGCTTACAGTAGATTATGCTCTGAATGTTAGAGGTGATGTTGGTAAGCATTTGTTCATGATTAATTATTATACTTAATTAATAATTGACAGTCATCTGACAACCAGAAAAAAACATGTAGCACCCAACCAGCTGCCAAGTGGTTCCAAGAGGGCAGAATCAGAAAATTGCAAACACTTTGCTAACTGTGAGCTGAGCGGTAGTAAAACTTCAAAAAGTGTGGCGCAAACAGGAAATAGAGAACGTTTCACCTTCAGACCAGTCTTCAGGCCTATGTGACTGGAGATTTTGCAGTTGATTTCACAGTCATTAACCTCCTGCAACCACTCCTCCCCAACACAATATACATTTCATTTCCTTGCAAATAGTGGTTACCAGACAGTCACTGAGTGTTCTCTAGGTCTGTGTGGCTGCGACCTTATTAACTTGACCTACAGCATCACATGTCCAAAATTCCTGTCAAGTTAATGGTGGTTAGTAGTCACATGGTTAACGGTCACATGACTGCAAAACCTGAATAGTCATACACTGCATTAAAAAAAATAAAAAACAACAACAACAGCCCTTTTGGGTTTTTTGGACTGTATGGTATTTTGAGGGGGGTCATTGTTTTGTTTTTTGTTGCCAAAAGTGACTATATTTTAGGTAGACATAATCCTTGATTAGCTTTTACAAGTAAAGTATATAATCCCATGAAAAATGTTTCAGAAGGCACTAGCACCACACAGTCGAGGAGTCCAAATTAGTCACTACCGCCAAGTCCTTAACTTTACCCCCTTATTACCATTACCCAAGCACATCAATTTTTTTTAAATCACCAACCATACAGTTTTGATGGTACAGTACAAGGCCATGATTTATACAAAGTTGTCTTTTATAGTATAAAACATTTAGAGCTTTAGAGCTTCCAGATTATAAAATAAAGCCAAATGCATGAGTGCCTTAAACCTGCATTCTGTCTGAAGGCCAACCAAAGGTAACAGCTACAAAAAGAGTTCTGGTGGAAAACAGCTTTCTGACTTGACTTGTCAGAACTTGTTGAGTTTATGGGCTCAGTCACCAATTTTGAATCATATTCAATTCAATTCAATTCAATTCAATTTTATTTATATAGCGCCAAATCACAACAAAAGTCACCTCAAGGCGCTTCATAGATACAGAGAAAAACCCAACAATCATATGACCCCTATGAGCAAGCACTTTGGTGACAGTGGGAAGGAAAAACTCCCTTTTAACAGGAAGAAACCTCCGGCAGAACCAGGCTCAGGGAGGGGCGGGGCCATCTGCTGCGACCGGTTGGGGTGAGAGAAGGAAGACAGGATAAAAGGCATGCTGTGGAAGAGAGACAGAGATTAATAACAGATAGGATTCAATGCAGAGAGGTCTATAAACACAGTGAGTGAGAAAGGTGACAAGAAAGGAAAAACTCAATGCATCATGGGAATCCCCCGGCAGCCTACGTCTATTGCAGCATAACTAAGGGAGGATTCAGGGTCACCTGGTCCAGCCCTAACTATATGCTTTAGCAAAAAGGAAAGTTTTAAGCCTAATCTTAAAAGTAGAGATAGTGTCTGTCTCCCGAATCCAAACTGGAAGCTGGTTCCACAGAAGAGGGGCCTGAAAACTGAAGGCTCTGCCTCCCATTCTACTTTTAAATACTCTAGGAACAACAAGTAGGCCTGCAGAGCGAGAGCGAAGTGCTCTAATAGGGTGATATGGTACTACAAGGTCATTAAGATAAGATGGGGCCTGATTATTTAAGACCTTGTATGTGAGGAGCAGGATTTTGAATTCAATTCTGGATTTAACAGGAAGCCAATGAAGGGAAGCCAAAACAGGAGAAATCTGCTCTCTCTTTCTAGTCCCTGTCAGGACTCTTGCTGCAGCATTTTGGATTAACTGAAGGCTTTTGAATTAAACTGTAAGTTTGGTTTGTAAACCTCCTTCATACCACATTTCAAAGTGGAGGATTATTTCATGCTAATTGGCTGTGAACTCGTCAGTCACCCGTCTTTAACC